ATAGATAGATAGATAGATAGATAGATAGATAGATAGATAGATAGATAGATAGATAGATAGATAGATAGATAGATAGGCCAGCCAATGAATACAGAAGATTGCAGGAGAAAGATATACAAAGAAATTCTGTTTTGGTTGGGGGGTTGGGCTCCTTTTCTTACTAATCCCGTTCAGTATTATAGTAGCAGCCAAACACATCTATCATTCAAAGGATAAAGCAAAGTGCCCGTATACAGCACCTTGCAGAGCCAATAGATTAAAGTTGTGGTTAAAGCCCAGAACTGAGAGACTTGAGACATGCTACTGACTTCTTAGCAACTTTGGTCAAATCATTTACCCCTCTATGCCTCCATTTTTCCGCCTATAAAATGGAAATAATATTTTATAGGGATGTTGGAAGGCTTAAGCCAAAGAGGTTTGGAAAGTGCTTTGAAACCTTCAGATGATAGGTACTATAACAGAGCAAAGTATTATGAAGAATAGATAGATAGATCAATCTTAATCAACTCCTTGCCAATGCGGGCCAAAATCTGATCTTGGCTACATCAGTGGAACTCTGGAATAGCTCCATTGACTTCAGTGAAATTACTCTGCTTTACACCAAAATTACTGAAAGCAGAATTTAGCCCTGCATCTCCATGGAGATGGCTTGTAAAAGAGAAGATGTTAATCCAGACGTGTCCATTTTTTTATTTGTTTTTATCCTCTTTTGTATCCTAAGAGAACAGAACTCCTATCTGCCACATCTCCCTGAAATAGCCTTGACATGAAAACCATTTGAGTCTCTGAGGTTCAGAGCCATCCTAATTTGATCAGTTTCCTTATCTGAATTTCCATTCTCTTTCTATTGAACTATAATGATGTTTTAGGGGCAAGTGAGAGGTGCCTTATAAAGTCCCACATTTTCAAGAGTACCCCAAACTCTGGGTACTTTTGTTTTTGTGTGCACAACTTGAGACACCCATGGGCAGGTTTTCAGCAGTTCTCAGCACACTGAAAGTTGATGTGTGGTGAGCACGACCTTTAAGATGGGCATCCAGAAGTGAAGGCTCTTTGATCACATTATTATTCCTTTTTATTTGCTACTCAAAGTCACCAAAATTTTAGTTGATAGAAAATCTAACAAAGTAACAATGTAATAAAGACCAGCAAGCTAAATAAGAAACAAAAATACTTATCAGGAGGAGCTCTATGCAGACAGCTCTCTGACTTCAGTCCACTTCAGTGCTGATAAGGCTTGCTACAGGGAAACCGACAAAAGGCTCCCTGGGATTTATCGGTGCCCTTGTGGTTTTCAGTTACCTTAGGGGTTGTGCTTTTATTCTTTGCTCTGACAGTGTATCTCTTGTTCTTCTGTCTCTCTCTTCTCAGACAATTTCTGAGGTTTAGTGTCTTCTTCTTCCTCTTTTTCTTAGTGGTATATGCCAGGATAAGTGCTTTGTGCAGTTACAACTAATTAAATAACGTTTTTTAACTCAAGGCTTCCTGAAATAAAAGCATGCTGGAAATCAGAGACAATGGGATGACTCAGATGTTCTAGTGGTTCATTCTTTGAGGGTAATGTCTGAGAAGACTGCTACACAGCAAGGGATTGGGCTGTGGAATGGCAACTTTCTTCCCTTTTAATTTTTGTCCTTGGTTTATTCCAATGTCTACCAGCTTATCTGTGTGAAGTTAGCCCATGAAGGCTGTTTCCCACTAAATGGATTTTAAAGGGGACCTGCAAAGGGAAAATGGTTGTTGTACTTTTGTTCTTCTTTAATATTTATGAAGAAAGTCTGAAAAGTCTCATTTAAAAAAAAAGTGAGGTGCATATGTGTGTGTGTAGTGGGGCAGCTGCCCCACTCCAGTAGGCAGGGGTTAAAAGCAGCCCTAGAGAGGGCTGAAGCTGGGAAAAGCAGTGAGTAGCTGACCACAGGTGTGGCTAGCTCAATCAGGGCCCAGCTGGCCCTGATAAAAGGGCTGTGGGCCAGGAGCTGAAAGCGTCTCACTCTAGCCCGGGAGTAGGAAGGGCTAGCTGCCTGGGAGCAAGGTACCTGAAGTGGAGCAGTGCTGGGGAAGGGCAAGGGGAGCTGGGGAACTCCAGCCTGGTAGACCCTAGGCTGCAGGCCTTGATGAAGGCCTATGAAAAGGTAGTGGGGCTACAGAGGGGCAGCCCGGGGATAGGCAAAGGCAGCGGGTCCTACCCCCTTGCTAATGGTGAGTGGCCTTTACAGACTGCAGTTTGCCCGAGTGAGCAGGGGCTAGATGATGACTGATAGTAGCCACTGAGGCAAGGTAGGTTTAGAGGGTTGGGGGTTCCCCTGGGAGGGGAGACCCAGAGTGTGAGGATACTGCTGGGGCAGAACCCGGAGGTAAAGGACACCGGGGTCCAGGAGGGACATGGGGCCCTAAGGCAGGTGAGACATGGGTCAGCAGAGGGCGCTCTGAGGCTGAAGAGCTAATTCCCAAGATAGCCAGCAGGCAGCGCCATGCGGGTAAGTCTTTGCTTCGCTATAGTGTGGGTGCATACCCATGCATATGCAAATAGGGCACTTCTACTTATTTTTAAATTAGAAATTCAGGTCTTGTCTACCCAATCTTTCCTGGCAGGCATATGGCTTAGGGCTTCAGAGGAACCATGGAAATGAAACCTGATTGACTGAGATGGCTTAATTCAGACTATTTAAAACATCTGCATTTTTTGTTTATTTTTGTTCACATTTACTTAACTCAAACACCTGACAAACAGTTAGAAGAAAAGCTATCTGTTAAATATTCAACACCACTATGTAAGAGCTGAAGAAGCTCCAAGTCCCCTTCTCTGTGTGAGGAGCAGTGGCACAGGAGCCAGCTAGGGTGACCAGATTGCAAGAATGAAATATCAGGACACATTAGGCGAGCGGGGCGGGGAGGGAGGAGAGGATGACAACGACAGACACAGGTGCACAGAGCCATGAGAGGGGGCCCTAGGAAGCTGCAAGAGGGGTTGTACGGCCCCTGATGGAGCCCTCACCACAAGCCACAGGGCAAGGACACCTATTGAATTCAATGAGAATTTTGCATGTGAATTGATGTACCTAGTTCTGAGATTATAAAGCCAGAAGGGATCCGGTGATAACCTGGTCTCACCGCCTCTATAGCACAGACATAGAACTTTCCCAAAATAATTCCTAGAGGACAGCTTTTAAAAAAAGCTTTTAGAAAAACACCATGACATATTGTTAATCATTAATTACTCTCACCATTGAAAAGGTATGCCTTATATCCAGTCTGAATTTGTCTAGCTGCAACTTCCAACCGTTGGCTCATGCTCTACCTTTCTCTGCTAGACTGAAGTGCCCATTATTAACTATTTGTTCCCCATGTAGATACTTACAGTCTATAACCAAGTCACTTCTTAACCTTCTTTTTGTTAAGCTAAATAGATTGAGGTCCTTGAGTCGATCACTATAAGGCATGTTTTAAAATCCTTTATCAGTCTTGTGACTCTTCTCTGAACACTCTCCAATTTATCAATATCCTTCTTAAATTGTGCACACCAGAACTGGACACAGTATTCCAGCAGTGGTTGCACCAGTGCCAAATATAGAGATAAAATAACCTCTCTACTCCTGCTTGAGATTCTCCTATTTAGGCATCTGGTCACCCTATTTCTGTATGCATTTCCCCAGGTTTTGTTGTAAAAATCAAAACTGAACTGCCCCAGAAATTCTGTCATGTGGAATCATCGTGAAACTCGCATGGCTCCAACCCTGCCGATGAACCTTTAGATCCACTGCACAGACTTTTGCCACTTGAGCTAATGGAGTAAATGATGGCAGAGGCAGTAGGTTGTCATCCTATATGTGATAGATCAGCTCTATAGGGGGTTGAGACACTTTTTTTGCCACTGGGTTTCACAGATATCTGCTGACAGAAGAGGAACTGTGAAACTTGTAAATCCTGGGTCTATTCCAGGCTCCTGAACGGAGTAGTCAAAGAGCCTTCTTCCCCGTCCCCTCCAGTCTGTCTAGCCTATTGCTGTCTAACCCGCCCCAGCTCCTCATCTGATTTCAACTGCCCCCCACTACCGCTCTAGATTCCTTGCCCCGAATATATAGTCACATTTAAAACGCGATTCTGCCCACCCCCATCCAACAGAT